CGAATTCCCGCTCGTTCGCGATCACGTCGGGGTCACCACTTTGGCGATTTACGCGCGTCGCGATTACTTTGGACGCCTCGATACGAGTCGGGAATTAAAAATAATGAGAGAGAGTAGTTGCAGATAATACCAATATATTATAAAACACGACCTTTGAATAGTCGGTACAGCAATGTATAAAAATCGTGCGGATTAGAAATGCGACTGTACACGGCGACCGTCTGTAGCGGACTCGTCGAGCATGTAACCGCTCTTCCTATCGTTCGCCTTAAAATTTCACCTTCGATAGGCTTCGAAAAGATTCTATTCGTTTATTTCTTGTCTGTTACGTCCCGATGTTTGTCACTGTGCTTCTCGTCTACCGTCTCGTCTGTTATCTTTATTTATGTTTATTTGACCGTATTCGTATACGTGTTTCTCTGGTTAATATTTTCTCTTTTTGGGAAAGCATGTGACGATATAATCGCCACAGTTTAAAGCATTTTTTGAACATAACATTCGACATGCTACATGTAAAAGAAGAAAATGCTTGTACATATTTTTATCAAGAATATCTTTAAATAGAATTGGCCCGCCGAATAATAAAATAAATCTATAATCAGTTACTTTATAATTTAAATGGCACGATACAGGTCTAATTTTTCGGTCAAACTCGATTGGCTGCTGGTGTTTTATAATTTCCATTTTCTTGCATAATTCGCTTCTCTGCTCTTGACTTAATTTAACATTTAAATCATTAGACATCAACGCATCCAATATTTTTTTCATGACTCCTAAAAAACAAAGATGCATTGAGTCGAGAATAAATTGATCTATCATATTCAATGATGGCTGTATTAATACAAGCGGAGAAACAATTGTGTGATGTTCGATATCGTTGAAATTTCTGAAAGTTTCGTCAGTTCGTTTTTCACAATTATCTTTGGTTATGTATATGTCATTGTATTATTAATTTTTATTCCTTCAATTGTACACCGTTCACAGCCATATTTAGCATTGTGTCCTTTTATACCTTTCAAGAATGATCGAGCCGGTGTATCACATACAAAACATTTGATTTTTACTTCATATTGTTTACCGTTAATATCTATGCCACTATGCTTAAGATCGTTAATTTCTAAAATAAATTGACATAAAAATTCTTCTACATCCTTCGGTTTATGATTTCCTGAGTATAATGCTGTGACAAATGGAGAATAAACGTCAGGTTCAAAGTAAACTTTTACGAGTATAGGTCATACAACTTTTGCACTAGATTTAAATAGTTTTATGCCATCGATATTAATAATTAAATTTAAAGTATTGCTGTTATGTATATCGTTATTTACACAAGACTGTAGGCCTTGTTTAATACCAAAGTAAGTA